TTGTTGTAGCATATTTGGTTGCATATTATTTTGAATTCAAAGGTAGAAAGTCACCAGAAAATGCCATTTTCATGCAAATAACCAAAACAAATTAGATGAGCTACAAAGTTTAAAAAGAAAAAACAAAAAACCTTCAGTGAACTAAGGACACAGAAAAATCCAAATTAACTAAATTCCAGAAAGTGAGGGTTATTTTAGTAGAGAAGAGAGATTGAAAACATGCTCTTTTGGATGTAAATGTTTTTTACTTTAGTCTCTGCTGTTCTTTTATAAAAATTTTCAGTATACAATCAAACATTAAAAGGCATATTAACATTTTTAAAGAACAACAAAAAAGTGGCCTATCGTTAAGAATAGAAACGATGAAAAAAAAATCCAGAAAGGACTCAGATGTTGGAATTATTAGACAAAGAATTTAAAATAACTCTAATAAAAATGCTAAAAATCTAATGGAAAATGTAGAAAACGCATGAAGAAATGGAAAATTTCCCAAAGACATGTTCATCTGGAAACATTAGAAGAAAATCAAGTTGCATAGGTAGCAATGAGAAATACAATATTAGAAATCAATAACATCAGATGCACTTAACAGCACACTGGGAAAAACAAAACAGATGAAAGTATCAGGAACTAAAGGCAGATTAATAGAAAGTTTCCAAACTGAAACACAAAAAGAAAAAATTGTGGAAAAAATGAAAACAGAATATTCCAGATCTGTAGCACAGTATAAATGAATCTAACTTGATATCGGGTGATGCAATAGAAGTTCTAGAAGAAGAGAAAAACCGGAGAGATAATGTTTCCTGTAATCATAACCATCTGAAAACATTCCAAAATGGATAGAAGACACAAAATTGCAGACCCAAGAAGCTCGGTGAACCCTAAGCAAGCAAGATAAATATAAATGAGACTGTACCTAGACATATAACAACCAAAATTCATATAAAATAATAAATAGCAAATCTAAAAAGCAATAGGAACAAAATGATACATTAAATACACGAGAAAAAAATTTTGGATGGCTAACTTTTTATCAGAATCTAAAATAAAGGAGCCAGAAAACAATTAAATGACATCCTTAAGTACTAAAAGAAAAAAGAAATGAAAGCAGAGAATTCTACGTCTAGCAAAAAATATCCTTCAAAATGAAGATGAAATAAAGGTATCATCAGGGAGACAAAAGCTGAGATACTTGTTACAAGCAACAACTGCAGAAAACTCATTCTTTTCAAGTTCTCATGGAACATTCAGCAAATATATTCTGGAACATATAAAAGTATTAATGAATATCAAAGAATGAAATCATACAGAGTAACACGATAGAATAAAATCATTCACAATAAGACATTTAGCAAATCCCCCAAGTACTGGGAAATAAAACCACACTTTTCTAAATAATCCATAGATCAAAAAAGAAATCATAAAGGAAATTAGACAATATTTTGAACTGAATAATAATGAAAATACATCAAAATTTGTGGAATAAAGCTAACGCAGTGCTTATAAGAACATTTATGACTTTAAATACTTATGCTGGAGACGAAAGGTCTATCTAACCTTTCATCTTAAGAAGCTAGAAAAAGAAGAATAAGCTAAATTTAAAGTAAGTAAAAGAAATACTAATAGGTCGGGCACGGTGGCTCAAGCCTGTAATCCCAGCACTTTGGGAGGCCGAGGCGGGTGGATCACGAGGTCGAGAGATCGAGACCATCCCCGTCAACATGGTGAAACCCCGTCTCTACTAAAAATACAAAAATTAGCTGGGCATGGTGGCGCGTGCCTGTAATCCCAGCTACTCAGGAGGCTGAGGCAGGAGAATTGCCTGAACCCAGGAGGCGGAGGTTGCGGTGAGCCGAGATCGCGCCATTGCACACCAGCCTGGGTAACAAGAGCAAAACTCCGTCTCAAAAAAAAGCAATACTAATAATAAAATGGTAATACAATGTCTTAACAACAATGGTCCAAAGAAAGAGGGAAACCACCAATTACCCACATAAAGAATAAAAATGAAACATCACTACATAGTCTAAAAATCTTGAGGTAACAAATATTAAACTATTATTTTAATAATCAACAGCTTATATTAATCCAAATAACAAATTACTAACAAATGAAGACACAGAAAATAAATAACCCCATATCTGTGAAAGAAATTAAATTTGTAAACTTTCCTACAAAGAAAATTTTAGGCATATATGGTTTATTAGTGAATTATACAAAACATTTAAGGGAAAAATAATATTGATATTGCACAAATTCAGCACAGAGGAAGAGGTATCACTTCCCAATTGAATCTACAAGGCCAGTGTGACCCTGACCCCAAAATGTAACCAAGATATTACAAGTAAAAAATAACAAAATATTTGCAAACAGAATCCAGCAGTGTGTGTGTGTGTGTGTGTGTGTGTGTGTAAAGAATAATATATCAAGACCAAGCAAGGTTTATTCCAAGAAAGCAAGGTTGGTTTAATGAAAATCAATCAATGTAATTCATCATACTAATAGAATAAAAGAGGAAGAACCATTTCATCACCTCAAAATACATAGAAAAAAACATTTGCCAAAAATCATCAGTTCTTTATGACAAAAACACTCCATGAAACTAGGAATAGATGGGAATATCTCCAATATTATAAGGTTCGTCTATTAAAAACCTACAGCCAATATCATAATAATAAACTATTAAACCTTTTTCTCCTAAAGTCAGGAACAAGAAAAGGATGCCCACTCTCATGTGCTGTGTTCAGTATTTACTGAAGTTTTTAGCCAGAACATAAGGCAAATACAAGAAAGAAAAGGCATGGACTTGGGAAAGAAGTGAACTGTCTTTATTTGCAAAAATACAAGTTGCCTAAAACCTGGAAGCAAAGCTAATATCCAAAAATAATAGATCCTTTGAGTAAATTTCAGGGAACTCAGTAAACAGACTATTCTGTGGCCCTTTAGAATGAGATTCTATTAACAGTGCTAATAAAATGAGAAAGTGTTTGCTAAAACCAGCTGTAAAAGGCATTTTAGAGGAATGCTGGGGAAATATGGACTGGTTATTAGACAATTTTAAAGAATGATTTTTCGCTTTGTTAGAAGTGACGGTGCAATGTGGTTATGTGAAATTTTGTATTTTAAAAAACACATTCTTAATCATTTAGAGCAAAGTTTTTCAACCTTGGCACTACTGGCATCTAGAACCAGATAACTGTTTGTTGTGGAAGGGGCTGTCCTGTGCACGCCGTATGTTCAGTAACATCCCTGGTCTCTACCGGGGATACAGGCATGCTTCATTTTGTGACAAGCTGAATTGTCTCCAGATATTTTCAAAAATCCTCTTGTGGAGGTCGACAGTAAAATTCACCTTGAGTTGAGAGCCTCTGATTTAGGGTTTAACAGCATGATGCCTGTACTTTTGAACCACTTCAGAAAAAAAAATGCACAAAGAAAATTTAACAAACATTAGTGTTAATTCTAAGTGATAAATACATGGGTGTTTATTATGCTATCTTCTTTTATTCTACCTTTTCCTTATATACTTTATTTACATACTATATATATATATATACACATACATGCTTCTTTTTTGAGATTGAGTCTTGCTCTGTTGCCCAGGCTGAAGTGCAATACCATGATCTTGGCTCACTGCAACCTCCGCCTCCCAGGTTCAAGCAATTCTCCTGCCTCAGTCTCCTGGGTAGATGGGATTACAGACACATGCCACCAAAACCAGCTAATTTTTGTATCTTCCATAGAGACAGAGTTTCACCATGTTGGCCAGGCTGGTCTCAAACTCCTGACCTCAAGTGATCTGTCTGCCTTGGCCTCCCAAAGTGCTGGGATTAAAGGCGTAAGCCACCACCCCCCACTGACATATTTGTTATTTATATTCTTATTTATATACTTTTTATTTTATCTAGTTTATTATACTATCTAGTTTTCTGTTTTAAAGTTTCATAATAGAAGTCAAAATAATTATAATACGCTGTAAATGGAAAATGCAACACAACTGTATTGCACTAGGATTAAATGCAAAGTCACATATATAAAAACTAGTCAAAGGAGTATGTTCAAGAGGACTAAGACTTCTCAGCAGTGTGCCCCAGCCACTCCAGTGACAGTGGGGGTCAACATAGGTTGGCTGTGGGCCTCCTAGGAGGCGCGGCTGCCACAGCCACCTGAGTTCACTATAATGATTAAGCCCCTCCTCCCCTCTGTGTGCTTTACCAGCTGTATGATGAACCCTGGTATAAAGTACAATCAAGAAAGAATCAAAGAGAATGTAAACAACAGTCCTTTCCCAAGAAGAGCTCTGATGATTCATTCTTCCACAGCCAGATCTCTTGTTGGAAGGAAAAAAGATTGGCCAAAGGCATACCCAAGAGGAAGCATCAGAATGACCAGTTGACAGCTAGGACTTCCCACTCTAGAGCTGTCATTGTCCCAGAATATAGAGACAGTTAAAATCTTGAAGGAGTCACCCAAGAAGCATTTGATTTTAGGATTAAAGGAAATTCATCCCTTCAATATTGGAGAGTAGCAGCAGAAGAACAAAGGAAGACCCTCTGTGAAACACTTAAGGAAAATGAGAAGCTTCACAGAGAAATTGAACAAAGAACAATGAAGCTGCCTGCCTGGAACAGGAGACTAATGAATTGGCAGAAGCAGGGGAACATGTACAGTCTATGACAGAGGCAACCCAAAGACTGAATGATGAACCTCTGGATAACTCTGAAGCACCAGATAGTCAGGAATTTGATTCTGAAGAGGAAACTGGTGGGGATTCTTAAGTGGAATACCCAAAAATTGCCACATGACCTTAGAATTCTATCTTCCTCTACAAATGCAAAACGTTGCACATAAAATTTATGACTCACAATTGTTGAGATACAGAACCAACCTAAGTTCTCATCGACCAACGAGTGGATGAAGAAAATGTGTACACCGTGGACTCCTACTCAGCCATTAAAAATAATGATAATCATAATGTCTTTGCAGCAGCTTGCATGGAGGCGGAAGCCATTATTCTAAGTGAGGTAACTCAGGAATGAAAAACCAAATACTGTATGTTCTTGCTTCTAAGTGGGAGCTAAGTCACAGGTACATAAAAGCATACGGAGTGATATAATGGACACTGGAGACTCAGAAGGGGAGAGGATGACAAGGGAAGAAAGGATGAAAACCCTACATACTGGGTACAGTGTACACTGCTCAGATGACAGGTGCACTAAAGTCTTAGACTTTACCATTATATAACTTATACTTCATCCATGTAACCAAAAACCATGTGTACCCCAAAAGCAATTGTAATATAGGTATATGTAAATACACACACACACACGCACATATATAAGTCTTGCATGTGAAACGTATTAATATTTGACTCTTGAGAAATACCCCATCCAATGGGTTCACCTTGCCCACTGCCTAGACAGAGCCGATTTACACACACACACACACACACACACACACACATAAGTCTTGCATGTGAAACGTATTAATATTTGACTCTTGAGAAATACCCCATCCAACGGGTTCACCTTGCCCACTGCCTAGACAGAGCCGATTTACACACAGACACACACACACACACACACACACACACACATAAGTCTTGCATGTGAAACGTATTAATATTTGACTCTTGAGAAATACCCCATCCAACGGGTTCACCTTGCCCACTGCCTAGACAGAGCCGATTTAAACACACACACACACACACACACACACACACACACATATAAGTCTTGCATGTGAAACGTATTAATATTTGACTCTTGAGAAATACTCCATCCAACGGGTTCACCTTGCCCACTGCCTAGACAGAGCCGATTTACACACACACACACACACACACACACACATATAAGTCTTGCATGTGAAACATATTAATATTTGACTCTTGAGAAATACCCCATCCAACGGGTTCACCTTGCCCACTGCCTAGACAGAGCCGATTTAGCAAAACGGGGAATGCAGGGGAAAGAGTAATTTACACAGAGTCACTTATGCGGGAGATCCGAGTTTTATTATTACTCAAATCAGCCTCCCCGGAGCATTTGGAGATCAGAGTTTTTAAAGATAATCTAGCAGGTAGGGGCTCAGGAAGTGGGGAGTGCTGATGGGTCAGGTTGGAGATGGAATCATAGTGGGTTGAAGTGAGTTTTTCTTGCTGTCTTCTGTTCCTGGGTGGGATGGTAGAACCGGGTGAGCCAGATTACTGGTCTGGATGGCGTCAGCTGATCCACTAAGTGCAGGGTCTGCAAAATATCTCAAGCTGATCTTATGTTTTCCAATAGTGATGTTATCCCCAGCAGCAATTTGGGGAGGTTCAGACTCTTGGAGTCAGAGGCTGCATGATCTCTAAACCGTAAAAGGCCGACTGATCACCAGGTAAGAAGGGGGTCTTTTCAGGAAAGGGCTATTATCAATTTTGTTTCAGAGTCAAACTGTAAAGTAAATTCGTTCCCAAGGTTATTTCAACCTATGCGCAGGAATGAGTAAGGATAGCTTAAAGGTTAGAAGCAAGATGGAGTTGGTTAGGTCTGATCTCTTTCTCTGTCATAATTTCCTCAGTTATAATTCCTGCAAAGGCAGTTTTCAGTTTACCTCCAGTATAGTTCTTTGTAGCCAAACACATAACTACATAATGTAACCTCTGAGATCAAAATTCTTTGTTTGGATCCTGGGACCTTATTGCATTAAAATACAAACACTGTAAGTTTTTAATGTATGATGTTTTATGTGAATAGCATTTTCTCAATTGTCAGGCAAGACTTGTGTAAATGACTAAAGAAATTTCAACCTCCTACTGAAAAAATAGATATATTCAAGGGGTTGTGGATGAGTTAGAGTATAATTCATGGTTAATTTCACTTCCCGGATTTTAAAATAATCTGTAGCTATATGCTTTTATATTGAAAAATTGACAAAATCTAAGAAAGTCAAAATGCAATATTATTAATCATTTATATCCTAATATTAGAAGAGAATTAGCAGAAAACACAGCAGGGACGGGAGACTCGCAGCCTGGAGTCCGTCTTCCACTCACTGCAAAGAAAGCATCTAGAGGCGGAATAGCGTTGAATGGGCATACATCTGCATAATGACTTTTCCTTTGTTCTTTTCTTGCTGGCTAATTGAGTAACTTGTACAACAAATATGCCTTCAGACTTCACACCAGATTAGAGCCCTTTGTAAATAAAATTATAGTTGGGAATATGCTTCCCCTAGCCAGTAAATAAACGCAGGAAATTTGAGGTTTGGCGTTGCATCACAAGATGGCTACGTAAATTTCAAACGCTTCCGTAGTTATAAATAAATGCTAAAGATTATCAAATTCCAAAGACTCCCAAGAGGAAAACAGCTCACCTCACTCTTTCAATCAGAGCCCCTCTCCAATCAAAACATCCCACCTGAAAAGCAGTCTTCTCTCCTACCCCATCATGGACACATGGATGTAACTGACATCATGCTTGTCTGGAATACTGCCTGGTGCCTATAACAAGAACAATAAAATCTCTTAGCATTCTGCAGCAAACAGTCTCTTATTTATCCACCTCTGCTTTGAACATGAGTCCCTCCTATGGGCCCAGGTATTTTTCTAATTATTGGCATTACCATAGTGAACCAATAAAAAATGTCTGTCCTCAGAGAGCTTAGTTCTTTTGTTTTTTATTGAGGCGGAGTTTCGCTCTTGTTACCCAGGCTGGAGTGCAATGGCGCGATCTTGGCTCACCGCAACCTCCGCCTCCTGGGTTCAGGCAATGCTCCTGCCTCAGCCTCCTGAGTAGCTGGGATTACAGGCACTCACCACCATGCCCAGCTAATTTTTTGTATTTTTAGTAGAGACGGAGTTTCACCATGTTGACCAGGATGATCTCGATGTCTTGACCTCATGATCCATCCGCCTCGGCCTCCCAAAGTGCTGGGATTACAGACTTGAGTCACCGCGCCCGGCCGAGATCTTAGTTTTTAATGGGTTCTTCCAAAATCCTAGGAGTGGTGACCACGAGCAGAGGATAGATCCTGGGTAACCTGAGTTAGTTTATGCAGTGCCTGTGTTCATAATATGGGGATAAAAATCTTCATCTGCTTTCAGACTCATCACACGTCGTAGGCATAAGGTTGTCTTGGATCATTTTAGGAAGCACTGAGCTAAAAGGAAAACAAGTGCCCTTGAACCTTTCTGAACACAATGGTATCAGCCTAAGAGATGGGGAAGCAGAACTGGGTCACACTGAGATGAGAAGGGGGCTGACCGCCATGGTGGGGCATGACTGCTCTACCCACAATGTCCTTGTCTCAGAATAAGTCAACCTCTTACACTCTAAGACACAGATCAAAGGAACAGGATGGGCTGGGCACAGTGGCTCATGCCTGTAATCTCAGCACTTTTGGAGGCTGAGGCGGGTGAATCACCCGAGGTCAGGAGTTTGAGACCAGCCTGGCCAACATGGTGAAACCCTGTCTCTACTAAAACTACAAAAAAATTAGCCAACTGTGGTGGCAAGTACCTGTACTCCCAGCTACTCAGGAGGCTGCGGCAGGAGAACTGCTTGAACCAGGGAGGCAGAGGATGCAGTGAGCTGAGATCACACACTCCAGCCTGGGCAACAAGAGCAAAACTCTACCTCAGAAAAAGAGAAAAGAAAGAAAAAAGAGCAGGATGTGGGATCAGAGGAGCCCTCCAAGACAAGCAGCTTCAGTTCAAATATAAGCTCTATTGTTTGCTCATAGTGTTTCCCTGGACAAAGTACTTGACTTCCCTGCCTCAGTTTCCCCATCTGTAAAGTGAGGTGAGCAAGAATTCTTCAGACTTGTTATGAGAGGTAAGTGAAATGTTTCACAGGATGCAGTAAGCACAGTGACTGTCACATAGTAAACACTCAATAAAAGTTAGCTATTTCCTATAATACAGTACATATAATATAATAATAATGCAAGCTGGTTATCACACCTGTAATCCTAGCACTTTGGGAGGCTGAGGCGGATGGATCACCTGAGGTCAGGAGTTTCAGACCAGCCTGGCCAATGTGGTGCAACCACATCTCTAAAAATACAAAAATTAGCCAGGCGTGGTAGCAGGCACCTGTAAACCCAGCTACTCAGGAGGCTGAGGTTACAATGAGCCGAGATGGCACCACTGCACTCCAGCCTGGGCAACAAGAGGGCAATTCCATCTCAAATAAATAAATAAATAAGTTAGTTAGCTAGTTATGAGTCACTATAGATTTAGTTACTCACCCAAAGACCCCAGTAATATTCTGAATGCACACAATATGCCAGGCATCATGCTAACTGCTGTTTATATGTTCTTCTTTGCTTCTTCCAGCAGGCTTTGTGGAAGTTATTGCGTTTATTTTACAGGTGAGGACATTGAGCTCAGAGATGTGAAGCAACCTGCCCAAGGCCACACAGCCAGGAGGAGCAGAATCAAGATCCAAACCCAGGCACAACTTACTTGAAATTCCAAGTTCTCTTCCCAACACACTCCCTGTCTTATTTCTGTCTTCCCAGTGACACCAATATTTCCAAGCTTTCACCTCACCACATTCTTTAAGCAATACATTATTCAGATTTTTTTTTAATCTGGCAACCTGAGGCATGTCTCTCTTAACTGCTGGCAGCCTAAGCTCACTGCTAAAGCACCATCCCTATGTGTCCCCAAACCTTTGAACACTATCAGAATTAGAAATGCATTCACCCTTTAACTCAGCAAGTCTACTTTTGGAAATTTATCCTAGAGATAGACACACACCTGTGCACAGTAACGTACATGCACTGTTATTCATTGCATTGTGGTCATAGCAAAAGATTGGAACTATCCCAACTGTTCACCAAGAGAGAAATAATTAAATCAATCATGATATAACCATTAGAACAGAAAAACATACAATTATAAATAACAATGAGAGAACTCAGTATACCCTGATATAGAAAGATAAGCAGGAAATACTGTACGTTTTAAAAGGCAGGACACAGAACCGTCTGTGTAATGAAAAAAGGAAGCGTGCATACATTTGTATTTGCTTGTATGTACCTGAAATTCTGCAAAGATAAAGAAGAAACAAGTAACAATAGCTGCCTGTGAAAAGGAAATATTCTAGGCAGTAGGGAGAATTTTCACCGACTATTCTAGCATACTCTTGTTTTCAAATTTTTCAATCACATGAATGAATGGCTTACTCAAAGAATGAAATAATTTTAAAAATACATTTTCGGAGTATAGTATTAAGAATCAGAAATTTGAGGCCAAATTTGCAGCAAACTGGGACAGGTTACTTCATTTCTGTCAGTCTTCATTTCTTTATCAGCAAAATCTCCAAGCCCCCAAATCCTGGGGACTTTGGCAGTCGTTATCATCATCACAGTTACTATTTATTAAGTGGTTACTATTTGCCAAGCTCTATTCTAGAGCCCTCTAAGAATTTGCCTCATTGAATCATTGCAAGCAACCCTATGAGATAGGAACTATGATTATTCCCATTTCGCAGATGGGCAAACTACAGCCCAGCGTGGGGGTATAACTTGCCCGAGGTCACACAGCCAGTATATGGTGGAACCGGAATTCAAAGCCAGGTCTCTCAGGCCTGTGTTTGGACCCAATGGTTTCCTGCCTCCCTCCACATTGATAATGTTTTTAGTTGTGTTCCCTGCCTCTTGCACAAATCTCGCCTACCAGCTCCCTTCTGAACATTGCTGGCCTCCACCAGGCCTGGCCCTCACTCATTTCCAATCACCCTTTATCCACCATAGCTTTGGAAATGGACTGTTACTAATGGCTAGTCATATGTCAGCCTAATGAATGGGAGGCAGACTTCCATTAAAATAATGAAATTAGTGAGTTTCGAATTTGGTTACATTGCATGGCACACAGCCTCAAGTAATTACCACCCCATGCTCCTACGAATTAAAGTCAGTTTATTTATTTAAGGTCTTTGGCTTGGCCATCTCTATTAAGCTCACATCATCTGTTTGAGGATGGATTTTTTTTTTTTTGCCTTGTTTGTTTAAATGATGTTCGGGCTGTTCCCCTGATTCATAAAGTTGTAAACACAGTCAGGAGCAGCTTCTGAACCATGAGCAAAAGCAAAGAATATAAGTCAAAGAACACTTCTTTGTGGGGCTTGGATTTTGTTTGTTTGGGGTTTTTTTCCTTCTCCAAAGGATGGAAACAATAAGAAAGAAGTTCTTTGAGCTCCAGAAACTCCAATTATGCTGACATTTCTGCTACAGAAATACACCAAGCTCCATTTTGCAGGAACCCAGTGAACTAGCTAATCAGATTTCCTTGGATAATTTGCTCCAAAGGTTAGCTGCCTTAAAAAGCACCCAGTGCCTCATTATTTGATAAAGCAGGCTGCACACAGGCTGGGATTTGGAACTCAGCCTCCCATGGCAAGGGAGTTTTTCTGGAATTTTTTAGCCCAGACCCTGCATCCTTGGCTGTGGCCAAAGTCTCATCTACCTTCGTGATCAGCCAACAGACAAAATCACCACCAGAAAAAGCACCTGAATCTCTGAGTCTGTGAGATCTCTGTCTCCAAGACAGGTCTCTCTCGTGTCCCGGGAGCACCAAAGATGGGAGACTCATCTGAAATGTTCACGCCACTGGTAAATTTCAAGGGAGGCTTTTACTGATACTGTGGTGGGTGGGTGACCAGACCTAGGATCTAATCACCAAGTCCAATTCTACAAAATCCCTAACAGGTACTCCTCAAAACTTTCATGATCATGAAAAGTAAGGAAAGATGGAGAAATTGTTCCAGGCCAGAAGAGACTACAGAGACATGGGAATAAATACAACATGAGACTCTGAACTGAATCCTGGACAGGAAAAGGACATTAGCAGAAAACCTGGTGAAATTCAAATAAAATCTGGCACGCAGTTAATAGTTTCCAGTGTTGGGGTCTTAGTTGTGATAAAGACACTAACATTTCTTTAACATTAATGAAAACAGAAACTGAGTAGGGATTTCTGGAAACTTGCTGTACTATTGTTGCACTTTTCTATAAATCTAACATATTTTTTCAAAATCCAAATCCCAGCACTTTGGGAGGCCGAGGCGGGTAGATCACAAGGTCAAGAGATCGAGACCATACTGGTCAACATGGTGAAACCCCATCTCTACAAAAAATTAGCTGGGCATGGTGGCGCGTGCCTGTAATCCCAGCTACTCAGGAGGCTGAGGCAGGAGAAGTGCCTGAACCCAGGAGGCAGAGGTTGCGGTAAGCCGAGATCGCGTCATTGCACTCCAGCCTGGATAACAAGAGCGAAACTCCATCTCAAAAAAAAAAAAAAAAATCCATGGTATATTAGTTATAGTTTGATGAAAATAATTAATTTTAAGTAATACATGATTCTTATTCTATTATAAACTTGATATCATAGTCCTGAGATGATATTACAGTCTTGACATGTGATATCACAGTCTAAAAACAAAACACCAAGTCCAGAGAGGAGGGTCAAGCCATTCCTACAACTCCATTTTTGTT